CCTGTTTACATTACAGCCAGTCGTTAAAAGTGGGGTCTTTTCCCATGATTTTTGTACTAACCCATTTCGATCAAAACCTATTAATTATAATCTACATACACATGGCATGAATGAAAATGGTGTAACTTATACACCCGGTCACTAGCTGGCAGTGTGTTCTTTAAAACACAACATGTCAAAGCACTTCCTGCTTGGAAAGCAGGAAGAAAGGGTGTGTTTGATTTCAGCAGCTGCATCCTCCAAGGACCCAGTCTACCTGGATAGGGTCCTTGGAGGGCCATGAAAATAAGAAGGCCGGAAGAGTTTGGCTGTACTGTATTTTCAAACAGGTCCAGCCTTCTGCGGCCTTCGCCCCCCCTTACTCAGCCTACCTCTGTCTCCTAGCAACCGTGACAGCTGACACACAAAGCAGGCAAAGAATGGATAACAAACTTCTCACTACTGCTCTGTGTGCTAATTGCATTTTCGAGGTGTTTCAGCAGCAGTACCACATCCATGTCTAATATTAATAGTGCACTAAGGGCCAATAATGGATATTTACTAATATTATGTTACATATATTTTCGCACCACTTGGACACCACGAAAAACCGACCAGCGTGCTGACATTGCTTCTTGCTTCAGTTAAACAATCCTCACAATCCTGAGCTGCTTCACAATTACTGGCACATGACTGACTCCCCCCTTCCTGAAACAAAAACAGTAACTACACCGTAATAAATATTGACCAACATTGGCCAAGATCGATATCAATGCTAATATATCATGCATCCCTAATAACTAGATAAATAGAAATATGTCATTTTTTTCTATTTATTTAATGCATGCATATACTATCAGAGATGGGAAGTAACGAAGTACAAATACTTCGTTACTGTACTCAAGTAGATTTTTCTGATATTTTTACTTTACTTTACTACTTATTTTTATGGCGACTTTTTACTTCTACTCCTTACATTTTTACACAAATATCTGTACTTTCTACTCCTTACATTTTAAAAAATTGGCTCGTTACTTTAGTTTTGAATCATTTCAATGGAGTTACCGTTATTATTTTTCACGTCATCAATACTGTGAAAACTGAGCCGTTTTCCCCCTCTGTTCCCAAAGTGTAGCCGCCGTCTATCACACACAGCGTCACATCCTTCACTACATTTCCCAGCATGCACCACAGACCGGCCGTCATGGCGGTAATTCTCACTAGTTCCGAAATTACAACGTCACCTTTTATTCAACACTTTACTTACTCACCAGCGTAGCAAACTCTGAAGGTACCCACTGCGACAGCTTTAATATACATTCCGTAGTCGGCAATAAAACTTCCCAGTCAAATCTTCCCTTAGTCCGTCAGCATACTGGTCCGTGTGGAAACACGTACCGCATCGGAGCCAGTCTCTTATCTATTGTCCCAGGGCATTGGAAAAGAGGGGGCAGGGGTATTAAGTGGGATTTCAATGTATGTAATAATTGTTTGCATGGTAGTAAGTAGGTGAAATGGAAATGTTAGTATGGTTAAATTATTTCATAAATATGTATGTTTTTGTATAAATGATGCTATTGTCTGTTTTTATTTTTCTACAATGTTAACTGTGCTTTATTGGGGATTTGCCTTCCTGTTTAAAGCTACAGTGTGTAATAATTACAGGCATATAAAGTCAGAAATTTAATATATTATACATAACTATGTTATTTATCATCACCTATGAGCTCAGCCTTTTAACCATAATATTTGCGTTGCCTTAGAATTCGTTATTTATAATTACATAGGAGCGGGTCTCGCAGCCATGGAGGCAGACATCTTTGCGCTACGGCAGCGCAGAGGCAACAAACTAGCGATTGCGAGATCTCCCATGACGCTCGAAAATAACTACGGCAAGTTGAGAGAGATGAACTGAGACGGTACTGAACAGTAGATGGCAGTATTATGCCTGAGAAGCGTTTAGTCTGCCTGAAACCAAAGAAGAAGAAGAAGCAGGTATACTGCGCCTCGGTAACAAGAAAGGTAAACAAGGCGGCAGGCGTGAGGGACTTTGCAAACGGTTTGGCACTGTGTGGCCAAACATCAGACGAATGGAGGATCATGCCTACTCTGTATCACAACGAAAAGCGGCGGACACCGAACCCCCGTCATCTAAGAAACGGAAACACGACGAGAATAAACGCAAGAGTGACAAGAAACGACAAAAAACACGGATCAACATTGGCACGGCATTTACACGATGGAAGTCACTGATGGAGGAAAAAGGTTTTCAAAGTGACGCTCAAGTTGCCAGTTTTCTCTTGGACAGGTAATTAATCCTACACACACAATTGTCTAATATCACTGCAGTTTTTGGAGTACAGGATGCTCAGACCGGTCTAAAACAATAACATGCTGCGTGATGATGCTGTTACTCTCCAGTATACTTATTCAGCAACGTCCCTGACGTTTCACAGGTAATGATTCAGTAATTTTCTGTAAAATAATTTTCTGGATATATACCTCGGTTACTTCTCTCCAGCTCCTTTGGAGATCTTCAAGCCTTTCCTCCTCTGCTCTCACCCCGCTGGCTCCCCTCTCTCGCCTGGCCCCAGCTGCACGCTCACCCCGGCCTCTCTGCCCTCTTCCTTTCCCTCTTCCTTGCCTTGTAACCCCCGTGCCACAAACAAGACTTGGACTCTGTAAACGGGGAATATATATTCTTCCAGCGAACACAATCTCGCTGTTAAACTAATGACTACAATTACTTCGTCTGTTTATATCACCATGCAAAGCAGCTCACCAAAACGTCACAACGACGTAGAAAAAATAACGGGTATATTTATTATCTTAAGTCTACATGAAATCTATACCCTAAACAGACTAATGAAATACTATCTGTAAAATTATCTATGTAAACAAACCTCATCACTTGAGAAGGTAGGTGATGCGGACGTCGTGGAAGACATTTTGTCCTGTAACGCTCGCCGTACTGTTGGGAGGGAGAAGCGGTGGGGGGGAGACGTTCATGTTGCTGCAGTCTGACCGCTAGATGTCGCTGAAAATTACACACTGTAGCTTTAATTGGGCTGTCCCAATTGGCTGATTATTGGTGGGTCTATTTAAGGGGCACATTCACAATGGCTTAGCAGGGCTGCTTGGAGAGACTGGTTGGAGAAACTGCTTTTGAAGGTCTGCTTAGAGAGACTATATTTAAAGTCATCTTGCTGTGAGGCTGTCAGTGTTTTGTATTGCCTGCAATGGCCGGTTTTGTTTTCTTTATTTGAAAGTATTTTGTTTTTTTGTTTTTTTTTCTTCACCGTTGCACCAGTAAATAAACCGCTACACGCTTTTGAACTCGCATTTTGTTGTCAGCTGGTTCTTACCACCTTTTTGCAAGTCATCTGCTTACACCTCCTCTGACGTGAGACGGGAGCTGGCGAGCCGTTATCTCACAAATACCAAATTCAATCTAATTGGATGGGAATCTACGTTGCATTTGACGCACCACTACAAGATGAATCGAAAGATTCGGCGGTATTCATTCACGGCAAATCATTGCAGCTTGGTGGCGGTGGCGTTAGCATAGTAGTATGGACGAGTATGGATGATTGAAAATGAACACAACGGAGATCTAGTCCTATTGGCAGACATCCATTTAAAATGTAGGCAACGGCATGAAAAAAGTGGTTTCTACTTTTACTTTTATACTTTAAGTAAATTTACAAGCCTGTACTTTGTTACTTTTACTTGAATAAAGAAGTTTAATCAGTACTTCCACTTTTACCAGAGTATTTTTTAACACAAGTATCTGTACTTTTACTCAAGTACGGAAAGTGAGTACTTTTGCCATCTCTGTATACTGTTTATTCCAAATGATAATAAGCACTGGCATCCATTAAATGTTTCTGCTCAACTGTGTTACTTTTTAGCATGAGACAGTCCGTGGACCAACTTTTGGCATCCCATTTTCACCACAAGATGGGTGAAAATGTGCTTGAATTGCGTACCAAAAGAGCCTTCATGATCTGTTTGCATGTCATGCAGTAATGTGTAAAAAGCATGGGTAGAAACACTGCGCTCCTAAATTACACAGCTAGTTTGGTTTGGCATGCTTAAAATCATCTATATATAGGGGCTGAAACAATGAATCAGATCAATCGTGATTAATCGATTGAAAGTATCCTCAACTGATTTAGTAATAAATTAATTGTAAACTGGAGTATAGTGACTCTAAAACATGCCTTTAGCTGACAGAGCCACCCACTTAGAGCAGCAATTCTACCAAGACTGTGAAAAAAATACAAAAGTTTTGAATTTAAGATGGAAAAAAAAGGTTTTGTGTGTCAATATGCTCTATCCAAAATTCCTCAAGTGGAAAAGTTTCACCTGGTTTAATAAAAAAAAAAAATAAATAAAAAAAACCTCTTCTTCATGAACCTTTGGCTATACGATTATTAATTGATTATTCGAAAAAATGTGCAAAATAATTGTTAGTTGCAGCCCTTAACATATATGATTTTAAAAATAACTTGAAATTTAAATTGATATCTCTGAAAACACAATCTCATTTAATATTGCTCCCCTCTTATTAAGTTTCCAAGCCTTTTTCCCCCTTTGCTTTTTTTCTTCTTACAATTTAATCATAAACGGTGGTTGCTTGTACTAAGTTGGATGGAGAGTAGCAGATTTAATGGGGGTTGTTCAGAGTACCACCAATCTGGATCCAATAAACTATTACAGGAATAAAAAAAACTCTGCAGAAACAAACCCGCCAGCATCTAACTAATAACTAACTACAAACTAACACATCTCTGTATTCGAGCAGTAAAACACCAGAACAAGTAGCATAAAGTAGGATAACTGTTTTTTTTTTTTTTTACCAGCCGAGGTGTCCCTGAACGCAGCACGTAACCCAACCGTTAAAAGTAGCCTCGGGGAGAAGAGTAACAAATGTGATGTACACCAACACATGAAGAGAAAGAAGTGTTTGAAAGCTAAACGTGAACCGTCTCCAGACACATGAAGGCTTCATAGCTTACCTCGTATGTTGTCCGCAGATAAACAAAACAAGCCGCTATCAGTCCGAACAACTGTCAGTCTGCAGTTGGCAAGGAAAGGTAATCCTCTTGTTTAACGCCTAACCTTACTCTTAAAACTTCCTTTTAAAGCATCATGATGCCAATATTATCTTTGCTACGTAACCATTAAAACGAAACATAAACAGTGTAGAATTGCATTAAGTTTAAGTAATAAATTTGAACAGCATGACAGCTGACAACAGTAGCGGCACCAGCGCTGTAGCTCGACGTGACTGCTTCACTTCACCTCGAAGACTGGCGTCAGCTGGAAAGCTGGCGGGCGGAAACACGCACTTCCGGAAAAGATTTTCAAAATAAGGCCGATGATTTTATTATTAATTTTAACATTTAAAATGAACTCTATCTCAATACTGGGACTGTATGCAGACCCTTTACAAAAACATTTTACATATGAAATAATTGGGAAATAAGTGAAAAAGTGAAGTGAAAAAGGAAGTAAGAATTAAGCAATACTCACAAACTTACACTGAGCCCCTAAATAAAGAGTAAAACAAACAAAAAATGTTAATCGGTAATTGGACTGATTGGCACAACATGATACAGTATTAGAGCTTCAACAGCCTCATCAGCTGTGAGTCTACAACATGTAAAAACATTTGCCTACTTTTGATTAAGAGAATTAGATCCCAATCATTGGCAAATGAAAAAAGAGAATGCATTTAGAAATTAAAATATAGGCAGTGGGCTGGAAGAATTAGGTAAATATGCTTTAGTTGCAAATCAAAAAGGGGACATTTGATCATTTCTTGCATTACAATAAAAAATGTATGTGAAATTTAGCTGTGAATTACCTGTAGAAGACAGAAAGACAACGAGCAGAGATATTGCAGTTTTTCTTGCTGAAAATCACAATATTGCGCTGAATTATACAGTTAGTTAAATACTGTGCACTGTTTATTTTTGGTCTTAAGATTTCTCTTTCAGCATATATTATTCATTGTAGCTTCAGTTCTGATGTATTTTTATTAAGAGTAAAAATGCTTTATAGTGCATATTTGTGTATTCTAAAGATCAGCAAACATTAAATGTTACATTAGAAGTTTAAAGCAAATAATTCGCTATAGTGTACCGGAAACTGAGACAGCAGCGACCCTTTTTTATATAGTTTCTTTATATATTCAGCGGCAACTGTGCACCATCATACTCGGTGATGCTGTTCACTTTGAACTAGTTCCGGGGACGTTCAGAATAGCGTGCAGCTCCTGATGGTAACAATAACAAACTCTTTACGCCCCCTGGTGTCGATAGTTGGTATGTCCAACGGACCCTTCCATTCAGATGTAATTTCCTCCAGCTGGCACACGAGGGAACTATTTAGCTATGGTAGAATATACACAAGCGTCAGGCCTTAACCCACAGTTTACTTTCTAAATTACCACATTTAAGAGTCGAAGGTGCTTAAACCTAAACTGTCATGCTTTACTTAGTTCACAGACTGAATAAATACTTAAATCATTCCATACCATGACACCTGTGAGTAAACAGGTCTTCCATAGTGAAGGGTTTGTGGATAAGATATGCTTAAGATAAGGGTGCAGTACTAATGTATCTTAGTCAGGGGCGGATTTACCATTAGGCAAAACTAGGCAGTTGCCTAGGGCCCCCATAAAAGTCATTTTACATGTAAGGTTAATACAGCTATTAGTGATTTGTGCACATTAATTATGTTTTTGATACAAATCCTTTCCTTAAAATGCCATCAGAACGCTTATAATATTTAGTGAGTCTCAGCCCCCCTTTAGTGTCCACCACATTGGGTCTGGCCATTGGCTGTATATGTTCAGAAAGGTCCAAACAGACAGCAACAAAACCATTTGAAAAACAAACGGTGCGAAGAGCAGTGTTGCCAAATTAGCACTTTTGTCACTATGTTTAACAACTTTTCAGACCCCTCTGGAGCTTTTATTACAAAAAAAGTGCTTAGCTGAAAATCTACTGACTTTTTTCTGCTACTGGAGACTGGCAACAACATATAAAAGCACCGAACTCTGCTCTCCAGAGCAAGTAGATTCATAACTCTGCCTCCTGTTCTTCTCTATCTTGTCTGCTGTCATGATTCATGCAGCTATTATTTTATTTAAGTAAAAAAATGGAGAACGGATAAGCAGACCATGGCTTGTCTACAGTGAAAAGAAGGACTGGGTTATTTGCTTTTGCTGTGGCCGTTTGGAAAGGTTCCTAAGTTAGAATGGGCTTAGTGATTAGAAAATCTTTGATTCCTTTTCAGGCAGCATTAAGAGTCAGCTGAGCACATTGCAAATATGAAAAGAAAAATGGACAAAAGAAAAAATAGAGGGGAAAACAGCAAGAAAAGGGATAAGAAGAAAGGGAAATGTATGTCTATTCTATTAAAAGTTTTGTCTCGGTATAATAGGTCTGTTTTAAGTGTTGTCTTCTCAATTCATAGGGTCCTATACCTGTCTTTGCCTAGGGCCCCAAATTTCCTAAATCTGCCCCTGATCTTAGGTTGTGACATATATCAATGCAGTCAGAATAAAACAACAAAAGGTATATAGGTAGATACAGTTTTAAAGAAATTAAAGATTAAGGTTATAAGATCTTAAAAAGAAAAACAGTGCTTTTATCTGAATAACCTAATAAACAGAAGGGTGAAAAAAGAATAATGCTTTCTGGGGTACAAAACCATTTCTAAGGTTTAGAGGCTTTAGTAAACTACAGAAAGAAGCAATATTTACAATGGGAGGAAACATGAAACAGTGGTGAATCTTCTTATAAATGCTTTACCATAATTGTTCCAAAAGCCAATCAATAATTCATCCAGGAGGTTGGGGAAGAACCCAGGACAACATCTAAAGGATATCAGGCCAGTGTAGGTACCAGATCTGATCGGGCCGTGCACATGCCAGTGATGTTGCGCTACATGATTTGCTGAATGTTGCCACACGATGTGGTCGCCCAGACAACGATAACATCACGCAGTGTCAGTGTGCAGAGTCAGCAGCATCTGTAGGGTTAGCATGTCTAATGAATAATAAGTTTTACCTGCTTGATAACAAAGCTGGAAAAACTCTGATTATGGTGAACAAAGTAACTGTTAGACAATGATATAGAGGGGGAGACCATGATATAGAGGGGGAGACCATGATATAGAGGGGGAGACCATGTTAAAGAGGGGGAGACCATGATGGAGGTGGAGAGCTGGGTAGCGCTGTGGCTAGCTGTGCCCATATTAAGTTACAATACTTTTAGCTTTGTGTCAACAACAACCATTTGTTTTCTAAAAGTAGAATAATAGTTTTATTTGTCTAAAAGATATCCCATTTTTCCTCCACTACCCTCAGATCTTAATAAAATAATAAAAATAAACTGAAACCTTTTTTGTCACCTTGTTCGATTGGCAGAGCTCAGTCTCAGAAGATAGCACTTTCCTTCAAGACTGACAATGATTGTTTTCTACTTTTGGCTACTTTAGGTCGCCAATGAAATGTAAAATACTAGGAAATATGAGGAAATAGACTCCAAAAGAGATTTGATCCTTAGAACAGGTGCAATAGAGTTTGTCCGAGTGGAGTAGCCATATGTTGACATCTTGAGAAAGAGCAGGACCCTGAGCAAATCTGATCAGACAGACAGATCTGGTACCTACACCTAATTTGATTTATGATTTGTCTTTATGAGCAAAATGGCCTCTATTTGAAGATAGAAATAGAACTTTCATGATTTCTCAGCAGAGAAATTAACTCTCTACATTTAAACCCATCCCTTTGGGGAGCAGTGTGGGTTTAAGGGTCTTGCTCAGAGACCCAGTGTGCAGGCTGTGGGGATCGAACCGGCTACTTGCTGAAATTGTCAGAGCACAAGCGCACTGCTCTAACCACTAAGCCAACACTCCCCTAGATTTTGACCCAAATGAACACAAAGCATTCACACTCATAAAATATCTCACACTACATCTGGCATAAAATAATACAGCATTTTAGACATGGTTGGATTGTAATGTTCAGGGGTCTCCTTTAAAACCTGGAGGTAATACAATAACTGATAGATTCATATATCTGCTCTCTTTCAAAAAAAAAAATCCTGATTGGTTAATCTATGGCAATTAGTTTGTGACCTTAAGCTGAAGTCCTAGAGGGTAAATAAGCAGGGCTACTATCTGAAGAACAGTACGTCCACATCTATATAAGTGCTATTTTAGATTATCTGGTGTGTTTAACTTAGGGTTCATTCTCAAAAACTCCTAATTCTAGAATACTGTCAAATTCTTCCAAATAGGTTTTAAATGTTTATTACCAGTTATTGCAAATGGTTAGTTGTAGTTTTGATCCTCTAAATGGAGAGAAATGTATGTAATTCTACATAAGTCAAAAATCAAATCTTTATTTGAAAACCTTTTACATTACAGAGTAGCCTACTTATATTTTAGTATTAGAACTTGTACTATACCAAAAAGATCTAGGTGTCAAAAAAGCAAAAAGGCTCAGAAGTTAAATTAATAAGTGCATGAATACTTCTTACAGTGCTTTACTTCCACTCATTAGATGCATAAATATTTGTGCATTATTGGATCTTGTCTAAGTCCTTCATATAACGTTATGCATTGTAAGTTATTAAATTAAAATCTATTATAGATGCTTTTTCAGTTGCTGAAGTCTGACATGTAAAATTTCAACGTTGTTTTCAAAGCTGCAGCTAAAACAAAAAAAAAAACCCAAAAAACTCTTTCCCTTTTTGAGACGCTCAACATGACCAATACTCACTGTGACCACCTGAGGTTAAACCTTTTAGAAGAAGAAACCTGGAGTCGCTATACGTAAGGGACTAAAACACTTATAACAAAACAACATGCTTTTAAGGAAATCCCACAGGTTTTCGGTAAAAGGAGCCTAAAATAAATTCAATCTGACCTTGTCACCGGGCAGACAGGATTCTTACTCTATGGGGTGGTTGGAGGGGTGCAACAATATTCTTTATTTCAACAAGGGATTTTAGTGGGAATCTGAATCAATAATGCTAAGAATTCTGCACATTATTGAATATTTATGAATAATTTCAGAAGTTATTGAAAGCAAACTGCAGCTTCACCAGCACAGTGATATTGCTTATACTGTACATCAGTGTGTTTGTGGCTATTTACACCATTATTTCAGAGGGTGTTAGCATATTATGCAGTTTGCTCTGGGGTAAGAGAGAAGCAGACACAGAGAAGCAGAATTACAGTCTCAATCCTCATTTCCTCAACAATAAAGTGTTTGTAATATTACCCATAACCCCTCT